GCTGGCCTTGCAGTTAGAACAGCTTAGTACCCCCTTTGTTCTTCTCTATCTACTTCTACATACTAAGCAATTTCAATATCCTGCTTTCTGCACATCATCTATTCTTCAGGGCCATGCGAACTTTGCAGCAGTCACGTAGCCCTCCCTATTTGGATTAATTTTACAGTATCATGTCCCTTGTCGTTCAACCATTCCTCTGTCAGGCTCTCTTCAGAGGGGAGGCTCGTTCACCCCCCTGCCCCCACCAGCATCGCCACACGCCTTCCCAAAGTGTCCCCAAGTGCTCCCAGAGTGCCCTCAGGATGTCCCCGAGTCTCTGCAGAGGTGACACCGGCCTGATGACAGCCCAGTGGTGATGTTGCTCTGTGCACAGCAGCCTCGGGATGTCCTCCATGGCTCTTTGGCACTGCTTGGCCACCGTGCGGCCACCGTGGCCAGGAGAGGGACAGAAGAAGAGGGTGTTGATGTCCCCAAGTGTCCCCAGCAGGTGACGCGTGGCCAGGCGGGCATTGGCCTCCCACAACTGCTCAGCCTCAGTCACTGTGGCCACCAAGGCCGCACGGAAATCAGGGGACACCTCTATTGTCCCCTCCAGGGCAGCCTCGATGTCCCCGAGCCGGCGCTGCAGCTCCCGAGGGAACGCGGTGGCTTCGTCACACGCGGCCACCAAGTCCCCCAGCAGCCCCAGGTGCAGCTCCAGCCGCTGTCCCCTCCTGGTGGCCTCATCCCTGCAGGCGTCGCGGAGCTTGGTGGCCCCCTTGGCCACCCAGGCCCAGCTGTCCATGAGCCTGTCCAGGACACGCCTGGCGCTGGCCAGGGCTCTCACACAGGCCCAGGTGGTCCCTGGGGTGTCCCCGAGGTGGGCCAGGGTCCAGCCCAGGGAGGGGACAGGGCAGTGGCCCAGGGAGGGGACAGGGCGGTGGCACAGGTAGGGGACACGGTAGTGGCGCAGGGCGTCCTGGAGGTGAAAGATCAAGGTCCCCACAGCCACCTGCAGGAACTCTGGGGACACGGCCAGCAGCACGTCCCTGTGCGGCCTGGCCACGGTGGCCGTCAGTTCTCTCAGGGTGGCCACCAGCTTGCCCAGTGTGGCCACCATGGCCACCATCGCCTCCAGCAGCTGGTGGGTGGACAGCTGGGGAAGGAACAGGGGCAGTGTCAGGGACCTGGTGGCACTTGTGGCCTCCTACAGTGGCCCCTATGCCCTCCCAGGGTTCCATTGTCCCCTCCCTGGAGGGCTCTGCTGTCCCCTCTGTCCCTTTGCACCCCCTCATCCCCTACTGTCCCTCCCTGTTCCCTCCTGTCACCTTCAGTCCCCTCCACCCCTCTGCCCCCCACTGTGTCCCTCCTGTCCCCTCCTGCCACGCCTCTGTCGCTCTGCCACCCCCGTATCCCCCCAGTCCCCTCCCGCCCCCACGCTGGGATTGTCGCACCTCGTGGGGCTCTATGGCTGCTGGGGACACTCCGGGGAGGGGACATGGCCAGGGACAGTTGGGGACACGTGGGAACGCGGCCGGAGAAGGGAAACAGGAAGAGGTGACATCATCGCCCCGGCCCCACCCCACCTTTGGCCGCTTTTGGGGGGTCCTGAGGAGATTTTGGGGAGGTCCTAGGTGAGGGTTTGGGGGGTCCCAGGTGAGGGTTTGGGGGGTCCCAGGTGAGCTTTGGGGGGTCCCAGATGAGAATTCCCAATGATTTGTGGTTTCCCAGCTGTCTAGGTGAGGTCTGGGGATCCCAGGTGAGGTTTGGAGATCTCAGGTGAGGTTTGGGTGTCCCAGGTGAGGTTTGGGGGTCCCAGGTGAGGTTTGCGGGGTCCTGAGGAGATTTTGGAGGGGTGCAGGTGAGCTTTAGGGTGTCCCAGGTGAGAATTCCCAAAGATTTGGGGGTTCCCAGNTGAAAACAGCTCCGGGGGGCCAAGGGGGGAGGGGCTGGGGAGGTTTCGGGGTGTGTCCCATGGGTGGGGGAGGGGCGGTGAGGGAGGGTCTGGGGGAATTTCGGGGGCTGGGAGCGGGCAGGACGAACCCCCAGACACTGACCACGCCCCCTTGGACCCCGCCCCGTGTTTTAGCCCCGCCCCTCGCTGCTGGACACGCCCACCGAGCGCCCCGCCCCCTCAGGCCCCGCCCCTCCCCATTCCCAGCTCCGCGTTCTGGCCCCGCCCCTCCTGAGGCCCCGCCCCGAATCAGCCTTGGCCCCACCCCTGAGTAGATATTTTTATCAATGGAAACCAAGAATCGCCACAAATCGACCCAAAAATTCAAACCCACGGGAGTGGAGGAGCAGGACCACACCTGTGATGTCACGGGGGAGGGGCCAGGTGGGATTTTGGGGGTTTCCAGGTGGGCTTTGGGGTGGGTACAAATGAGTTTGGGGGGTCCCAGGTGTTCCTGGGTGGGTCCAAGTGGGTTTTGGGGAGAGTCCCGGTAGGTTTTGGGGGTCCCAGGTGGTTTTTAGCGGGGTCCAAGTGAGTTTGGGGAGTCCAGATAGCCTTAGGAGGAGATCCAGGTGAGTTTTAGCAGGGTCCCAGTAAGTTCTGGGGGGTCCAGTGAGTTTGGGGGGCGAGTCCAGCTGTCTCTGGGTGAGTCCAGGTGATCCTGCGTGGGTCCAAGTGGATTTTTGTGGGTCCCAGGTGAGTTTTGTGTGGGTCCAGGTGGATTTTGAATGAGTCCAGGTGATTTTTGGGTGGGCCCAGGTGGTTTTGGGGGGAATCCAGGTGTCCTTGAGGGAGGTTCAGGTGTCCCAGGGGTGATCCAGGTGTTCCTGTGGGCTCCTGCTGTGTTCAGGAGGCATCCAGGTGTTCCTGGGAGGGGTCTCAGGTGTCTCAGGGGCAGTTCCAGGTGTTCCTCCATGAGTCCATGTGTTTTTTTGGGGGATCCCGGTGTCCTAGGGGGATCCAGGTGTCCTTGGGAAGGTTCCAGGTGAGTTCTGAGGAGGTCCAGGTGTCCTGGGGAGATCCAGGTGTGTCTGGCAGGGTGCCGGTGCCCACGTGTGCAGGAACCCCAACATCTGGCAGGCTGGGACTCAGGAATGAGAGATCCAGGTGTGAAAGATCCAGGTGTAGGGGTGTCCCAGTTTAGGACAAATTTGGGAGAAAACCTCTGGAAGGAGCCCCCAGAAAACAAATCCCTGTGGCCCCTCCCCACCTACCTGGTTCAGGAAGAATTTTCTCTGAGGGAAGTGGAAAAGAACCTGTTTATTTAACAAACAAAACCCTTCCCAGCACTAAGAAAATGAACAACACCAGATGCCAACAAAACTCTTTCACCACTCTGAAGAGATGACAAATCCAGAAAGTCTCTCCTGGGGGTGGTCGCCCGGGTCTGGGCGCTGGGGATTGCTCTGGGCACTGGGGATGGCTGCTGCAGATCACAGAGCGCAGGCTCCCGGTGCTCCTCGGGGTTCCCAGGTTCCAGTCCAGAGCAGGTTGGATGGTATTCAGGAAAGGGAAAGGGAAAAGAAACAGTCCAGGGAAAGAATTGGACTGCTCAGCTAAACTAACTAGGAAGAAAAGGCAAAAGCAGAAGCAAGGAAAAAAAGCAAAGCAAAGCAAGCAAAAGCCAGCAAGCAAAGCAAAGCAAGCCAGCCAGCACTGGCCTCTTCTAGACAGCAGACCATGGGGGGAGGTGAGCCGGCTGATAACAAGGCAAAACAAACCTTCACTTTCAGAGTCAGTTCTGAGAGCACAGAACAGAATATCAAACATAAACAGAACACACAGTTGGAGATACAAACACCATAACGTCAGCCTTGCATATTCCACCCCTTATCTCCATATCTTCAACATCATGTAAAAACTTCATCAAGTAAGAACTTCTATCTTTCACTTACTCAAACCTTCAACACTTACACATTTCTTTCTATTTCACTTGCTCAAACCTTCGACACTTACACATTTCTTTCTGTCTCATGTCTGTCTGTTTTCGTGTACAGACACTGGCAGCAACATCCAGCAAACAGTGATATTTGCATAAGTCTCACCCCCCAATCAGATCCCCCCTGAGGTACACATCGTGTTGCTCCATCTCTCTGCATTATCCACCATGTACAACCTGGTCCCTGAGCAAAGACAATCCCACAAATGGGTTTGTCTGTACTCGAGACAGCATTGATCCACACTGATTTCCCTAACAAACCTCTGACATATGCCACTGGGACTTTATCTCCATCTACTACATTCAGGGGCTCAGACTCAGCAGGACCTGCTCGATTGGTGGAATCTCGGCTGTTAACTAACCAGGTGGCCTTTGCTAAATGTTGCTCCCAATTTTTGAAAGATCCCCCACCCAATGCTTTTAAGGTGGTTTTTAACAGTCCATTGTGCCTCTCCACTTTGCCTGCAGCTGGTGCATGGTTTGGGATGTGGTACACCCACTCAATGCCATGTTCCCTAGCCCAGGTGTTGATAAGGCTGTTCTTGACATGAGTCCCATGGTCTGACTCAGTCCTCTCAGAGGTACCATGCCTCCAAAGGACCTGCTTTTCAAGGCCCAGGATGGTGTTACGGGCTGTAGCATGAGACACAGGGTAGCTTTCCAACCATCCAGTGGTGGCTTCCACCATGGTGAGCACGTAGCGCTTGCCTTGGCGTGTCTGGGGCAGTGTGATGTGGTCAATCTGCCAGGCCTCCCCATACTTGTACTTGGACCACCGCCCACCATACCACAGGGGCTTCACCCGCTTGGCCTGTTTGATGGCAGCACAGGTCTCACAGTCATGGATCACCTGAGAAATACTGTCCATGGTTAGATCCACCCCTCGGTCTCGTGCCCAAGGTGGCATCTCTGCCCGCTTGGCCTGAGGCATCACTGGCCCATTGTGCTCATAGCAACAGCCACTGATTGAGGCTCACAGTCTGGTTTAGCTGCTGGCTTAGGCTCACAGTCTGGTTTAGCTGCTGGCTTAGGCTCACTGTCTGGTTTAGCTGCTGGCTTAGGTTCACGGTCTGGTTTAGCTGCTGGCTTAGGCTCACGGTCTGGTTTAGCTGCTGGTTTCGAGCCGGGGGTGTTGGCTGCAGCCTGAGTGACTGGGATAGCTGCTGATTTATCTCCCTGCCCCCCTTCCTCTGTCTGCTTCCCTACAGTATCTAGCAGGGTGCGATAAGCACCAGCCAGGACCCAGCTCACTGCAATGATCTTTTTCTCCTTAGACTCAACATGGCATTTCTCTTTAAAGTACTCTGCCACCTCAGCTGGATTCTGAATTTGTTCACATGGGAAGTCCCATGCTATAGGGTCAGAAAATTCCTTTAAGATTTGGCCCATATGCTCCCATTTCTTTCTTGAACTCCCTCACATCTCCTGAGTTGAGAGGTACCTCCATATAACCTATTCCCAGAATTTGGGTTGGTTGTCCCTGCTGACCAGCACTGGGGTTAGGGATCATTCCCAAAGCTACTTCCCTTCATGGATATAGAGCTTGCCCTTCCCTTTCTCTTTCCCCCCTTGTTAGACTACGAGTAACGCAGCGATTTTCCTCAGGGATCGGCTCCGGGATTTCTACCTCTTGGTTATCAAAATCTTCCCCTTGATCTAAATCGGGGTAGACTGCGGGTGGTGCTGGTGGGGGTGGAGGAGGGGGAGGTATGTATGGTATAAGGGGTGCAGTTGGAACTTCCTCAGGCTTTTTATTTTTCTTTTTCCCTCCCTGGGTGCTTAAGGCAAAAGGTTTTGCTCCCATTTCCCCCACTATCCAGAGAGAAGCATACTTGCTCTCTTCCATATCAAAAGGTTCTTTAGAGTTTACATAAATGTTTAATGCCTGGCAAATCCAGACCTTGAAGTTTCCAAACACTGGACAAAATAAATTATCACTACAGATTTGTTTTCCTCCCCATTCTTTTATACAATAATGTATCATTTTTGCCACAGCCTCCCCTTTCCTTGAAGGATATTAATCCCAAGATTTTATCATTAGACCTAACGGACTGTCAGGGGGGATCTGGGGAAGCGTTACCGGGTCCCCGTCCCCATGGAAGCAGAGGGCTTGCTTTTCCTCTGTCCCATCTCCCAGGACACCTTCAGGCACACACACACTCGTGGCCCCTGTTCGTGCCCAGCCCCTTGCGGGCTCTGCAAACCGCACTACTCAGAGCTCTGCCCGTGCCTCGTCCTACAAGAACGTCTCACGTGTTATGTCCTGGGATCCCAGCCCAACCCAGCGGATCCCCACTTTTATACTCACGCTGTCCTGCGTCTTCGCCCGGCTTCGTGCACAAAGATTACGGGGTTACCTGTGGGAATGATTAGGCTCCTCTGCATGGCTGGGGTGTAGTGAGGCAGAGATCTCTGAAGCTTGCTCTTGGGGAGAGAGGTTTATTTAAAGATTCAGGAATGCCCGAGCCTCGTGCTCTCAGGCGCAGCATGTGGCTGGGCTTAGGAGGACGGGGGAGGGGAGAGAGAAATGGAGGGTTTAGGAGAGGGGAAGCCCCAGGCAGGGAGGGAGTCCTAGAGGGGAGGAGGGAGGAAGTCCAAGAGGCCGCATGGCCGCTCGGAGCCCCCTTTTCAGGGGCTCCTAGGTGGGCTGGGACAAGGCATGGGCCAATGGGGTTACAGACTCTGATGTTTTAGGGGCAGGTACAGAGGTGCGGGATGAGCCACAATCTTTTGGGGGGTAGGATGGAACAGTCCATTTCACTCCAGGATTCATCCAAGGGCAGAAGTGACATTCGGCTAGCTAAAATAACAATCATATCTATCTACCCTCTGCAACAGTTACCGGTATCCCTTTTGCTCAATACCAAATTTGGGTTCGTCGGTAAGGGTCTGGGAAGGAAAAGCCTGCACCAGAGCCACTGCAGAGGCAGCGGGGCGCCTCCCTGATTAGGAGTTCCCACCCGTTCGCCCTTATCCGAGTCACGGCACCAAATTTGTTATGGACAAATTCAATTGGGGAGGCTAATTATAGATAAATCAATTAACAAGAATTTATTAAGCAAGTGTTATTAAGCAAAAGAACAGCGCGGGGCAGCCAGGGAGCCTGTGCTCTGCCACGGCGCACCTTCCCCCTTTGACCTTTTTGTTTTTATACGTCCCAGTTGACGTATTTTCTCTCTATGAACTCTGCGCCGGTGCAATTGGTTGCTGCGGGTCTGTTTTTTCTGCCCTTGGAGGTTGCAGGAATGAAGGCTCCTCATCTTCCTTGCAGATTGTCCTTGGCCTAAAAGTTAACTTGTATATAATTAGTTACACAGTCTTCTATGCTAGTTGCATTCCCTACTCAGTTCAAATTCTTGTCTCCTTTAACACTCATTTTGATGAACAACGACCTTTTTATTTATTACACCCACTCTCTCCCAGTGCCCCCCAGCGTGTCCATCTCTCTGCTGCCCTCGAGCTCCCGGCCCGGCCCTGGCCGCCTGCTCCCATCCAGCTGAGGTGATTCCAGGGCCAGCAGGAGCTCTCTGTGGTGGCCAATGACGTGGTCCCCAACGGGGACTGGACCCACCAGCTCCTGGTGCTGCTGGAAACCCAAACCTAGGCCAGGCTCACCTCCACCTGCCAACAACATCAGCCTGGAACAACCTGTGAGCCGGAACTGGGGTATAGGGGAGGAACTGGGGGTGCTGGGAGAGCCACTGGCATGTGCTGGGAGCAACTAGGAGGGAGTTGGAGAGAGCCTGGTTTCAACTGGGAGAGGAGGTTGGGGGTTTAGAAGGGCTAAGAAGAGGTTTGGAGAATACTGGGAAGGGTGGGATGAGGTTCTGGAGGTCCTATTGGGCACTGGGAGGGAGTTTGGGTGCGTTAGGTTTAAGTGGGAGGGAATAGAGTGAGCCTGAAGGAGCTGGATGGAGATTGGGGATGGAAAAGCAGAGATTGGGATGAGGTTGGTTGTGCTGGGAAGAGACTGGGAGGGCTCTGGGTGAGTCCTGGTGGGGCTGGGAAGGGACTGGGATAGGCTTTAGGGGTCCTGAGGCAGTGGGGGACGACTAGAAGGAGGCTGTGGGATCCTGAGAGGGACAGGAGGGGCTTTGGTGGGTCCTGGGGAGGTTAGGACAGAATCAAGAGGGAGGTTTCAGGGGATCCTGAGTGGGCTGGAAGCGACCAGGAAAGTGCTTGGAGGGGCTTGGGTGTCTGTGAGAGTTTTTGGGAGATCCTGACCCCTGCGAACTACCCAGAGATGCTGCTGGATGCTGCCGCAGCAAGATGCTGACAAGAACTGGGGACTCCGAGTTGGGCTTCGTCTTCCTGGCACTGGGGATCGAGTTTACCTGCACAAGAAAGGGGAGTCCCAGGGGTCGTGTCCCCCCTCCCCTGGAGTGTGAATGCTCCCCCGGGGCCCCCAGCCCGGTGTCACCCCCTTTTCTCTGCCCACAGACCCCTGAGCCACTGGCGGCCGCAGCCCCTCCCCGTGGCCTCGGGCCCGGCAAGGACCCCCCCACTCCTTCCCCACGCTGATTTTGGGGGGGTCGAGTGCCCCCCCAGCCCTGCTGTCACTCTGCCCCTGCCCCCTGCTCCCAGTGTTCCCAGTAAAGCTTCCCAGTTAAATCCAGCCCAGTTCATGGGGGCACTGGGGAGGGACTTGGGGGGACCCCACGGCGGGGCCGGCTCTGGGCAGGGAGGGCGGGTCCAGGTGGGGAACACTGCCTGCTGCGGGTCTGCCCGGCAACTGGTGAGTCATCAGCCCTGCTCTCGCTGATTGGCTGACTCTTCTCCACCGCGTTCTCTCATTGGCTGAGGAGAGGCCCGGCAGTGCAGAGAAGGAACGGGAGAGATCCCGCCCCGAGCACCGGCACGGGGACAACAGACCCAGCCTGGGCACAGGGAGGGAATTTATTACCAACCAAACCACGGCAGCACCAGGAGAAGGGAAAGAAATCCCTCCAGCACCTTCCCCCACCCAACGGGGATCACCCACAACAGGGTTATCCACCATGGAGAGACGGGGACATCCGAGTTTAGACCAAAGCCAATTTTATTGAGTGGAGCAGGTGTTTATACAGGGATTGACTTGTATGGTGCTTATATAGGGCTGTTTTTGGTAACAATTTCCCATTGGTTACACATTCTTCGTGACATCCAGTAACCTGGTAACATTACCTTATCAAAAAGTCTCACACCATGTTGCCTGGTCAGTCTTCTTGCCAAGGGAGACTTAAAACTGTGTCTGTGTCTCCCACAGTTTCTGCTCAGTCAGGCCTCAGATATTGGGCCCCTTTATCAGCTCCATTGCTTTACTCTCTGTTTTATTCCCCATACGGGGACACCAGGGCTCTGCCCAACGGGGGTCACTGGGGATCATCCAGCCCGGATCCTCTCATGGGGGATGGAGCTGCAGCAGCACACCAAACTCTTCCTTCACTCTCTTCCCTCACTCCAAGCTCTTCCCTCACTCAGGGAACTCACAGGGCTTCCCTTAGTGGTGCCTCTGTTGGTGCTGGGTCAAATCTGAGCTCTGTGAGAAGCCCTTCCCACACTTCCCACACTCGTAGGGCCTCTCCCCGGTGTGGATGCGCCGGTGCACGATGAGGTGGGAGTTTTGCTTGAAGCCCTTCCCGCAGTCGGGGCAGCGGTAGGGCCTCTCCTCTGTGTGAATCCGCTCATGTAGAAGGAGATTGGAGCTTCTCTGAAACCTCTTCCCACACTGGGGACACTCGTAGGGCCTCTCCCCTGTGTGGATGCGCTGGTGTGCTTTCAGTTGGGATCTCCACCCAAAGCTCTTCCCACATTCCAAGCCCTCATAGGGCCGTTCCCCAGTGTGGATCACCTGGTGTTTGACCAGGCTAGACCTCTGTATGAAGCCCTTCCCACACTTCCCACACTTGTAGGGCCTATCCCCAGTGTGGATGCGCCAGTGCTCGGTGAGGTCGGAGTTTTGCTTGAAGCCCTTCCCACAGTCAGGGCAGCGGTAGGTCTTCTCCCCTGTGTGACTCCGCTCATGTCTGAGGAGATGGAAGCTGGACTGAAACCTCTTCCCACACTCCCCACACTCGTAGGGCCTCTCCCCAGTGTGGATCCTCTGGTGCTGGATGAGGCTGGAGCTCCACCTGAAACCCTTCCCACATTCCAAGCACTTGTGGGGCTTCTCCCTGCCATGAGGCTTCTCCACCAGCTCCGAGCTCTGGCTGGATCTCCGCCCGCCTTCCTGGCTCAGGGGGGCTCTTTCCTCCCTGCAGCTCCCTGGGCTGGGTTTGCAGCTCCTCCTCCTGCAGCATCTCCGGGACTTTTCCTCCTCCTCCATTCAGCCACGCCCTGGAAATGACAAATCCTGGTTTGAGGGAAAAACAAGAGAAGAGCTGCTTGGACTGGAGGTTCCGCCTTGCCCAAGTTCATCCCTGGAAGTCATTGGGAATCTTGTATCTGTAAGAACCTCCAAAACACCAAGATTCAGCCCAAAAATCCCACAAACTTCAAGACACAAATCAAAAACTCCCTGAACATCACAAGTCAGCAAAAACCTCCTCTAAAAGATAAAGATTCAGTTCCCATATAAAACCAAAGCACCAACATTTAGCCCAAGAAAGCTCAGAAACACCAAGATTCACCCCCTGAAAATCGTAGATCCATCTCCATAGTCACCTGCTGCATGTGGGGGGAGCAGCGCTCCTGGGACTGGGGGGAGGCTGCAGACACAGGGAGGGGTGGAACCTTCTGCTGCTTCCTCTTTCTGCTCCTCCTCCTTCTCTTGTGTCTCTACTCTTCCTCACACTCCTCTTCCTCCTGCTATTCCTCCTTCTCCTGCACAATCCCATCTTCTCCTGCCACCTGCATCCTTTCACCATTCTGTTCCTCAAGCCTGCTTCTCCTTCCCTTCTCCTCCTGCCCCCAGGCCCAGCACCCACTGCCAGCTCCCTCTTCCCCCCAGCCCCACAGCATCCCAGCGCAGGGGCAGGGATGGAGCTGGGGCAGGTCGGGCTGGGGCAGCGCTGGGCTCTCGGCCGCTCCCGCCCGCACTCGGTCCCCACTGCAGCCGCTCCCGCCAGGACAGCGCGCGGGGGCCCGGCCTTGGCGCTGCCCCACTCCCACCTCCCCAAATTCCCCTCGCGGGGGCCACGGGGCCAAGGGGGGGGGCGCAGCTGGGGTCCAGGTGGGGAATGCAGAGACAACTTTAAGAGTGGGTCCCCAAGAAGAAGAATTGGAATTTGTGGTAGACACAGGGGCAGAAAGAACCTTACAGTTAAATATTCCAAAAGGTTATAGTGTAAGCAAAGATACTGCAAAAGTAACAGGACCAAAAGGAGAGAGTTTCACAGTACCTATTATTAAAAATGTGGTAATAGAGGGAGAAACTAGATTTTGGATGAGGGATGTTTTCTTGGTCCCAGGGGCAGGTAGCAATTTATTGGGACGAGATTTACAAGTGAAATTAGGAATAGGGGTTGTGGAGTTGTGCTATTTCAGGTTTTATTATGTAATGGTTTGTTCCGATGTACCCCCATGTTCTACTTGGTTTGTCCTTAGTTTTCCCACCTTACCCCATGTGTCAATCCTCCCCTAAGGCGCTCAGCCACTCCCTTGCCCCCTCCCAAGTGCCCTGTCAGTCACTCGGTATCCCCTCCCAGACACCTAGAAGCTTCTATCCTGGGTGCCGAGTGATTGGACAGGGGCCTGGGGCCCCTCCTACGTCTATCCCTCATTGGATCCCCTGTACATCACCCCATGCAAGAGCCACTCCCTAGTTCACCCCTATTGGTTGACTGTTTCTCCTCCCTCCCAGTTCATAAGCTGCTGCAAGCACCTGACAGTTGCTCTTGCTAGCAGGACAGTTCGGATGTTGTTAGCCCCGGTTGGGCTACAATAAATCTTGGACACACCCTAGCAGGAGTCTCTCTTTCTCTCACCACCGCGGGGTCTAGCAGCGCTTGGACAACCCACGGAGCACTCTCCAAAGCCCAGCTGGGTCCAGCGGAGGGTGCTTCATTTGCCACTCTCACCCCATCGGACAGCTAGCCGGGGCAGATCTGGGGAGGGAGCGTGACAGCCTGGCGCCCAATGTGGGGCCTCTCCAACCTGATTGACCCCATGACGGAGGACCCTCAGGATCTCGGAGACTCGAGGACTTAAACCTCCTTTGGCCGTCAAGCTACCCCGGTGGGAGCAGACCTGCGTTTTAGTGGGTGGCGCTCCCGGGGATCGGACCGGCAGCTCCGGACAGCACCTCCGGAGTCGGCTTCCTCCTGCGGCGGGATCTGCTCCGGGATTTTTCGTTTCTGCCCCGACTTCTCTGGACCCTCTTTGGTAAGTAAGGGGGCCCTTGGGGCTTAGCCTCCAGTACTTTTCTGGTATTTTCTTTTCCCCTTGGGGTTTGGGGAAAAGATTCCCTTGGTGGGTGGGTATTTCTTTCTCCCGTGGTTTTGGGGAAAGATCCCACATTCTTTTTGGCGCTTCCTTTCCCGGGGTGTGGGAAGCTTTGAGGACAGTTTGGCTAAGCCATCAGGGCAGTCTTTTGTTTTTAGTTGGTATTTTCCTGGTGGTGGATTTTGTGGCGCACTTTTCCATTGTACAGCATGGGTGCTAAGCTGTCTGCGCCGGAGAAGAGATTGTTTTCCCAAGTTGTGGGTATCCTTGGTGTTGGGGAAAATTCGTTTAAGAAGTTGGACATTAAGAAGTTTGTCCAATGGCTGTCTCAGACCTTCCCCGAAATTTCGGCAAGTAAATTATATCAAGTCCCCTTTTGGGACCAAGTGGGAAGGGAGATCCTTCGGCAGTCGGATCTCTCTCTTTCCAAATTTACACATTTGGCTCTCCAAATTAGACATATTATTAAGAATAATTATGAAGGTCTGCCACAACCATCTGCAGACAAATCCATCCCCAGTTCTAGAAATCCTACCCCTCTTTCCTCTCCCTCTTTCCCAAGGTCGGGTATTCTCAGATGGGCATCCCGGTGCAGCCCGCAGGCAGATTCTGGCCCCTCTGTGAATTCCCTGGACCCCTGACAGGACAGTGCTGGCACTGTCCCGAATCTTCCTTGTTCCCCTTCTTCCTCACAACATACCACCCCGTCCCGTAAAAATTCTGTTGGGTTTAAGCTACCCCAGTTGCCTAAAACTCCCTTATCCCCTACTCCCTTAGCCCGGGATCCTCAAAATGGCTTCCCTTCTCCCTCCTTCATGAGGACACAAGATGGCGGGGACCGCATGGCTTTTCCCGCCACTTGTGCTTCTTCTTCCCATGATCCTCATCTCCCTTCCTCCCAAAACCCTTTCCGGACATTGTCCAACCCTTCCGTCCCCAAGATTTATCCGCCCATCCCACTTCTCCACCCCCAATCTCCTCCTCTAATGAATTATGTAACACCCCACCCCTCGGCTCCACCCCTGAGGAGGGGAGGCTCCAACACGCCACTGCCTCCGACTCCGCCTCTTCCGCCTCCTCCCTCGGTTCCCACGACCCCACTTCCGGTTCCCACGCTTTGAGTTCTGGGGGGGGGGGGGGGGTGGGAACCCTGGCCTGCCCCATTCCCTGCCTACCTTCTCGGCCGCACCTGTCACCTTTACACCTCGGCGGGGGGGCAGGCCCCTCGCACAGTGGTCCCCCATCCCACAACAAACAATAAAGGATCTCTACAAGTCCCAAAAAGAATTTGGTCGAGAGAGTGAATATTTTAGAGGTATGTTAAAAGCAACCCTCTCCTCAGCCGAGTATGTCCCCGCTGACATCCGGACACTATTCTCATGCTTGATAACCCAAGCAGAGTTTTTAATTTGGGAATCCGAGTGGAAGTGGGAAATTAGGGAGGTGTTGCCGGACCTGTGGGCTGATGCAGAGATCTCTAGGGATGTGGATGGAGCAATTTTATCTGTGGACCATCTGTGCGGGGAAGGGGATTGGCAATTGGGAACAAAGCAGGCAGATAAAATCCCCAGGGAGGCCCTTCAGGTTTCCATTAGGACGGCAGAAAAAGCTTTCTTTAAGTTAAGACCAAGCGGCCCGGCCATTAACTTTCTTTCTATTAAGCAGGAACCTTTTGAATCATTTGTCACTTTTGTGGACTGTTTATGCACTGCCATAGAGGCTCAGGTTCCTGATGAGAGACTCAGGAGAGTGATGCTTACCGAGGTGGCCAAACAAAACGCAAATGATGCATGCCGGCAGGCAATCCTGAGTCTCCCACTGGATCCAGAGCCAACCCTCCAGGACATGCTGAACGTGTGCACCCGAAAAGTGACAGTTCCTGCCAGAGATACACCAGCAACTCCTCGGACATCACACAGGAGAGTTTCCTTTGCGGAGGCCGTAACACCCACAGCCACCCCTGTGCCGGAACGCCATTCTACCAGAGCACCTACGAGGGGATCTCAGCAAGAAAGGCCGTGTAACCTCTGCCGACAGAGAGGACACTGGGCTTCACACTGCCCATTGCGGGAGGACTTTTTAAAATATCAACAGCAGCAACAGAGGAGGAATACATCCAACACTGGGGGAAAACAAAAAAACTAACTAGCCAGCGCAGGAAACAAATACGGTGGGACTTATAATATCAAAGGAGGGGAGGGATGAGTATTCTAAAAGCCCACCTGAGGACAAAGACACTTTACCGGACTGGACTATGGCTGACGAACCAGCCTATATGGGAGAGGATGTTGATTTTATTTCCACTGCTTGGCTTGGTCGGGACCCTGACAACCCCAGGCCAATACTTAACACCTGTTCTCATCTCTCCCCATATAGGTTGGCCCTGACCGCACCGCTCCATTTGAAGGACAGTTGTTGGCATTCCATCGCAGTTGACACCGCAGACCCAGGAACCTGGAGGAACATCCATGTTGCAGAGGATAGATAGATATGATTGTTATCTTAGCTAGCTGAATGTCACTTCTGCCCTTGGATGAATCCTGGAGTGAAATGGACTGTTCCATCCTACCCCCGAAAAGATTGTGGCTCATCCCACATCTCTGTACCTGCCCCTGAAGCATCGGAGTCTGT